CTTAAATTGATCTGGGCAGGGTTTCCCTTGACTCTGTTTTCTGAAGAAGTTTAAGATTAGTATTATTTCTACCATAAATATTTGTTAGAATTTACTGATGAAGCCATGGGAAAGTTTTAAATTAGGACGTTAATCTTAATAATAAACATAAGGATATTCAGGTTTTTAAAATTGAATCCATTTTGTTAGTTTGTATCTTTCAAGGGGTTTTAAATTTTCATCCAAGTTGTCACATTTATTGGCATACATTTGTTTACAACATTTCCTTATGTGTGACACTCATACTGATAACTAGTGATATTCTCTCTCTCATTACTGATATTGGTAATTTTAAATTCTGTTTTTTTGTGGTGATCAGTGCAGCTAGATAACTTTATTGATAGTTCCAAAAGACCAACTTTGGTCTCACTGATTTTATATACTGTTAATTTTAAAAAATTGTATTAATTTCTAATCTTCTTATTCCTTTCCCTTCTATTTAACTGAGACTTTTAACTGAGTATTTTGTCAAAATACTTTTGCCTTCAATTTTGAAAAAAATTTTGCAGTGTATAGAATTCTAGATTGGTAGTTTATTTTCTTCAATACTTGAAAAATGTTTGGTGTCTTCTGGTTTGCACAATTTGGGAAGTCTGATATTTTCCCCATTTGTTTCTTTTTACATATTAGGTTTTCTGTCTTTGTGTGGAAATCATTGATTTTCAGCAATTTGATATTGACATATTTTGATGGTGTTTTATTTGCATTTATCCTTCTTGAGATTGCTCTGTTTTGGGGTCTGTTGATTTATAGATTCCATCAAATGTGGAAAGATTTGCTCATCATTTCTTTTTATATCTTTTTCTCTCACTCTTTCCTTTTCTTCTGGGACTTCACTATACATCTGCTAGAACTCTTGATATTTCCCCATATCTCTGTTCATTTGCACCATCTTTGTTTTCTCTTTGATTCATTTTTAGTTTCTTTTGTCATGCCTAAGTTCACTGGTCTTTTATTTAGCAGTCTCTCTGAGGTTAATAATGATTCAGTGACATTTTCCTTTCACGTATTAATACTCTTCATCTCCAGAAATACTGATTAGTTCTTTACATCTTTCCTTTCTCTCATTGCTTTCTTTCAAATGCTTAGTGTAATTGTAATAGCTATCTTAAAGATTTTTCAGCTAATTCCAATATCTCTGTTTTTTTCTGTTGATTCTATTGCCAATTTTCTCCTGGTTACGGTTCAAAATTTTGCTTCTTCATGTACCACAATCTTATAATGGGTGCTGGGCTGACCACTGTGAATTTTATGTGCTGAATGTTTTTTGTTGTATACTTTCAAATACTTGGACTTTGGTTTTGTAGGAAGTTACATTCCCGATGAATAGTTTGATCCTTCTAAGATTTGTTTTTTTCTTGAAGTGAGTCTAGAGTATCTTTTACTATAGAAGTAATTTAGTTCCTGTACAAAGGTTATCTCTTCTTGCGTGTCTTCTGAATGCTTCATATATTGAATGGGGTCTCTTTACTTTGGACTGTGGAAATATGAGTAATTCTTAGCTCTTTATTAGATCTGGCAAGTTTTGACTTGCAGTTCTGTGGTAATTTCCACAGTAACTGCTCGTTGTTGGCCTTGTGAAACTTGTCAGTACAGATATACAGATTGGCATTCAGCCAAAGAATTTCTGGAGCTCATTCTCTGCATAGTTCCCTTATTTCCAATGTTCATTTCTCCAAGTTCCAGCCACCTTGGCCTCTCTAAGGTCCAGTCTTGGTCTCATCAACTCAGCCAAAATGTTGACCCATCTTTGGGCTCTTCCTCCCTGCACAGACCAGAAATTACCTCCATGTATGAAGCAAGGGCAGTCGTAGAGCTCTTTACCCTTCTCTCAGGGGTCACAGTCCTGTGCTGCTAAAACCCAATGTCTGAAAAAATTATTTCATATGCTTTGTCTAATTTTCTTTCTTTCGAAAGACAGTGCATGTATAAGTAGGGGAAGGGCAGAGGGAGGGAGGAAAGGAGGAAGGGAGGGAGGGAAGGAGGGAGGGAGGGAGGCGAGGAGAGAGAGAGAGAGAGAGAGAGAGAGAGAGAGAGAACCCTAAGCAGGCTCTATGCTCAGTTCAGAGCCCAAAGAGGGGCTCGACCTCAAAACCATGAGACCATGGCCAGAGCCGAAATCAAGAGTTGGGCGGTTAACTGACTAAGTCACCCAGGCGCCCCCCGGCCAATTTTCTAATTGATCATATAGCAAGAGGAAAAGTACTGTTACTTCTTCATGGAGGGAAGGAAAAGTCCTGGTCTTGATAATTTTCTTCTCGTTGGTCTGTCAGGTACTGAGAAAGTAGAGTGAAACTCTTCTAATATATTTGTTTCCCTTTTAATTTTTCATAATCCATGGCTTAGAAATGTTTGTTATTTGTTCCACCAACACTCCAAGTTGTTTCACACTCATTGCAGTTTGTACCATTCGGCATTATAAGGTGCTTGTTTAATTCTCTTCAATTTCTTAATACCATGTTTTATGTTTTTAATCTGAATTTTTATTTCCTGTAATTTTCTTTTCAAACTGTATGAATTACTCTTTTTTAAGGCCTGTTGCTTGTATACAGCATAGAACTGTTTTGTTCTTGAGATATAATCAGGGTAATTTTGTTTGCAAAAAATAGGTTTTGTTTGCAATATCTCATTTGACTGTGCATTTCCTGTTTTAATATATTTTTCTAATCTTTAATTGTGTGGTCGGATTTCTTTGTGAGTTTTTTGTGTATTGTCTTCTGGTATTCAAGAAGGTTTGGATTTTGGTCTTATGCTTATTTTTATTATAAATTTAATAGACATTGCCGTTTCTGTGGGCAAATCCATTTGTTTCCAACTATGATAAAATTATGTTTCCCATCCTTCTATTTCCCTTCCCTTCCCTCTAGCATCCCATTAACTTGCACGTGGTATATACCTTACCCTTTATATAAAATCATAATTCCATCACTTGATTGTTAGCTTTGAATGCTCTTATTTGACTCCCAATTACAGTTGGGAGTAAGCAAACTTACTCTACTTCCCATCTCATCCACATATGTCCTCAGATATTATATGAATCAACATCATTTCCACATTGTCTGGGCTCTGAATAATGACAATCATAGCGATCATTTTAACACTGTATTTGTTTTTGGTTTTGCTTTCTTCATTTATCAAATGCTCACAACAAGTCTTTTTGCTCTGGGGTTTCCAATCATTGTTTGATTAGCTGGGAATAATAAGTTTTCTACCCCCCCCAAATTCTTTGGTGAGTATGCATCATCTCAGTTTTGCTGATCTTCTATTTATGTGCTTCCAAACCACTTTCAAACATATTTTATACATTATACAAATGTATAGTTTAGTGAATAAGAACCATATAAATCATACAGAATAGAATATCCTTTTATGGAAGCTGTGTCTGCTTCTTTTGTATTACTCCTCAAGAAGTCTGATTTTTCTTTCCCAGCTACTGGAAGAAGTTTCTTTTAATGAGGGGTATTTTTGCTGATATTGTCTGAGGTCTGCTGCCCCCAGCCAACCTGATATTTGCTTTACCCTGGAGCTTTTACTATCATTTACCAAGCACAGCTTCTGTGCTCGCCTTAGCTGCTTTGAAGCCCTACTTAGCTTCCTGGGATTGTGGATTTTTTTGGTCTCATAGTCACCCTGGCAAAGATTCTGTGGAGGTTTTCTCTACTTGCATCACTGATTTCGTACACTATGCAGAAGGAAAAGAGTTAAACTCCACATCACCATGTGCATAGTGGAAGTTTCTCTTCTGTCCCAACAAAGTTTCCCTTTCTCTTTTGTGAACATGGCAGTTGGGCAGCATAAGTCAATATGACCTTTTTGGTTTTTTGCACTTTTCTCCTTGTTTCTAGGCAATTAAAGACTGTTCCCATCTATACCATCACCCCATTCCCCAGAAAACTCACCAAGTTGGGTCCATACACAACCCAGACTCATAGTTACTTCCCCGGCTGGCCCCACATATTTACCTATAGTTTCCAGCAATGAGATGCCCTAATATTCCACTGCTGATAATTTTAAGAGTATGAGACTTGTGTAATTTCAGTGAGTTCCGGTGAGTTCTTAGCCAGGAGAAAATGGAATGAGTGAGCTTCTGAATTGATACTCAGATCAGGTTTTTGCACCCCAGTATTCTCATATCAACCAGGACCAGAAGCACCAGTATATATTTGACAATTTTAAAAAGTGAAAGTAAGGGGCACCTGGGTGGCTCAGTCGGTTAAGCATCTGACTTTGATCATGATCGCATCGTGATCAGGTCATGATCTCACGGTTCATGAGTTTGAGCCCCACACCGGGCTCTGTGTTGACAGCTCAGGGCTTGAAGCCAGCTTCAGATTCTGTGTCTCCCTCTCTCTCTGCCCTTCCTGTGCTCATGCACTCCCTCTCTCTCTCTCTCTCTCTCTCTCTTAAAAGTAAATAAACATAAAAAAAAACACAAAGTGAAAAGAAGTGAAAAAAATCCTAATCTTGAGGTAGTTTTGGCTATTTATACAGGAAACAAATTCATAAGTTATAGTAGACTTAGCAGTAATAGAACAGACTATGAAATTCCATTGTAAATTTATCTGTTAGCTTTATTATTTTAGTAACCCTGGAAAAGTAAAAGTGTCAAAGATGTTATTTCAAAATCCTTAAAATCCTAGTCTTGTTTCCCAGTGCCACGCATCAAATTGGACTTTCAGTTTGCCAGACGGTTTATTTTCGTGTGAAACTAAGTTTAGTAATCACATTCATTGCTCCTTGCAATGTATTGATTCACTTGTTGCTTAATATATCTTTGGAGAGAGTGGGAAATGGAAAAGTGTCACAACGACAGGCAAAGCAAGCAATGTTGTCACTGTAGAAAAATGACCAACAATTGAGAAACATTTTTGGTGGCCGGCATGGGTACCTTTGGTAAAAATAATTTCAAATCTATGTTTCAGGCTCTATAAAAATAAATAAATGACTTTTTCATTTTTCAGATATGGTCTTACAAGGGGGCTATACTACAGACTATTTGTTTCTTGGAAATTTTATTTATACGGTAAGGTCACCCATATGGTTCAATATCTTTTTCTAGTTTTTAACTGAAAAATTCAAGCATTATAAGAATTTCAAAAATTTTAAGACTCCATCATGCTCCAATACCTTTTCCAAGAAGGAACTATTATAGTGATTTCATATGCATGTGTTGTGTGTGTGTGTGTGTGTGTGTAATTTCTAGGAATGTGAAATCCATATAACTATTGTATATATCCTCTCTTTTTTTGTACAGGTAGGGAGGTGCTCTTCTATATTTTGTTTTTTCACTCTACAACACACGTGGGTGATGGCTTCATATCAGCCCATGAATATCTACTTCATTCTTTCAGGGTTGCTTGTATGACTAATTGATCATTATTTATTTAACTAGTCTCCTATTAGTGGACATTAAGACTGTTTTGGGTCCTTTGCCATTATCAACAGTGTTGCAAAGACTATTCTTCGTGCCCATGAGTAGGCAGACCTGTAGGAAACATTTCTATAAGTGTAATTGCTGGATCAGAGAGTATTGTGAATTTTGGAAATTATTACTAAATTACCCCCCAAAGAGTTTGTACACATTTAGTTATGAGATTATCAGTTTCCCCAAACCCCCATTGGCAGTAGGTAGCCTTACTGCATGTTTTGATCTAGTAGGTAAAATGGTATTCTATGGCAGTTTTTGCTTTGAGGATGGCATATCTGCGTGAAGTAAAAAATAAAAAGACAATAAAATGGTCTTTTTATTATTGGTAGATATTTATGTGTTAAGGAGGTTAATTTTTTCCCATATCTGCTACATGAATATATTTCCAGCTTTTCACATTTACTTTTCATGACACGTATTCTGCATGTTAGTCTTAGGTAGTTAAATTTATTGATATTTTTCTTTATGGCTTCTGAGTTTTGTATCTTACTCATAATTCAAAAAATTATAGGTGTGTATTTAATTGTATGTTATTCCTTTGGTCTGAAGTGGAAACATATCCCTCTGCATGTTTTTATTTTTCATTTAACAACATATGTTGGAACTACAAAACCACAAGCCATGTTTTTCCTCATGTTTTCTTCTACATAGGAAGCAGTTTATTGGCGTAATGCCTCTTTTCACTTAAGCTAGTTGTCTTTATTATTTCATGGAGGTGGGTATGGCTTTTCACTCTGTATTAGATCTTCCTAAACATCAAATGAGGTTAGGTAGTATTTTCTTATTTATTTGGACCCACACATACAGACCTCCCCACATCTAGACACGCATGCAGGCATACAAACATAAACGACATTCCTTGTTACGATGCCACAGTAAATTGAAATAATGGAATCTCAATCTCCTAAGACAAAAAAAAAAAAAAGGATACATAATAAAGCCAGCAATAACAAGCCACAGCAAAATTAATTCAGCATAGCAACCAAAGAAGTAGATGGGACTATGATCCAGCTTTCCTGACACGCTGTTCCCAGGGCCAGTGAGTTGAAGGAGGTACTAAGCCAAAGGATGAGCACCAAAAGAGGAATGGAGTAAACCCCCAGGGAGGTAGAGTCCACCTGGATGCTTACAGGGAATTAAAGAGGCCAGTGGACCTGAAGCACAGTGCAGACTGTGGGTTGGGCAAGGGAGGTTCAGGATAATGGCAAAGATGAACTTGGAGTGGTGGGCTGGGGCCGGTGCCTTGGCACCTCTAAGGATTTGGAGAAGCTTAGATGGGATGACGGAGACTAGGTGGATGCCGAGCCTGGAGCGACAGAGTGGACGTAAAGTCTGCTTCAAAAGTAGGGTTTGAAACACGCAGTGTATCCCACATCTACTGCGGCACAGGAACCACAGGGTGACAGAATCATACTTAACGAAACACTGAAAGCTTTTTTTTTTTTTTTTTGAGATTAAGAATAAGATGAAACATAAGAAAGTTGCTTGGTATTACCACCTTTCTTCGCCACTGTGGGGGAGTTACGACCCACCACGATAAGACAAAGAGAGGAGCACAAGCCGCTGAAAGAGGGAAACTGGCTTTAAACCATAGATGATACAGGGTGCACACAGAAAATACAAAAGCAGTTCAGATAAAATATTACAATTAATAAAAGAGGTTGGCAGTTTGCTGGATATTGGCCAATATTTAAAAGCCAATTATATTCCAATATATCAGCAATAAACATTTGGAAAATAAAAAGTCTATATACTATTTTACCATTGCATTAAAAATAGGAAAGACATGAATAAATCTAACAAATGATGTCCATGACTTCTGAGGAAAACTGTAAGACTTGAGTGGAGACATTAAGAACATCTAAATGGAGAAATATACCATGCTCGTTATTGGAATACTCAATACTATAAGGAAGTCAGCTGTCCTCAGATTGATTTATAGACTTATTGTAATCCCAATCAAAAGCCCTGGATGCCTGATGCGCTGTTTCTAAAATATGTATATATCCAAATGGCCAAGGATAAGCCAAAATGCTCTTTATGATGATTTCAATCTACCCTGTTCAACTGTGGTTTTTATCCATAGGACTTGGATTTCTAATCAGAAAGAAATCTTCCATTCTATCTATAAAGAATGTAAATATGAGCTTATGATAGAAGCATGATTTTTGTCATACTGTGGAAGGACTTCTAAATATGAAACATTTACTGAAAAGCACTATATTCTCTTCTTAATTAGAAGCTAGCAAAACAGTTAGCAACCTATGGCACCTGAGTTCAATGGACACAGAGAATGAGGGGGCCGGGGGGGGGGGCAGGAGGGGTCAGCGGGGAGTAGGGTACGTGGGCTCTAATGGAAATTTTAATACATTTTCCCACTCTATTTCCCCATTTTATCTCCTTGCACAGTACGTAGTTGTCACTGTTTGTCTGAAAGCTGGTTTAGACACACTATCTTGGAATAAAGTGAGTATTCTTTTGGGTAGTTCCTCAATCCAGTATAGTTGTTTGCATGTTGATTTACTTTTTAAGCTTTAGAAAATAAGCACTTTGTTCTATTCTTCACATTTTACCTTCTTTGGTTTTGCACATTCAAGTGACGATTTAAGCTGGATGGTGGCGTGTTAGCGGTCTAATGTCTTTAAAAATTCCTTTTCCTAGATTACATCTTAAATAGATTCAATTTATCATGCTGAGATCCTTAATTCATTATTATTATCAAAGTACAGAACTATAATAGAAAATTTAGCAAATACAGAAAAGGAGGAAATAAAAATTGCCCATACCGTTCAATGTCAATGACATGGACATTTTGGTTTCTATTTTTTCAGTCTTTGTTTTATGTGTGCTTGTTTGTTGTTCATAAAAATAGAATTCTAAAACCTAATAGTTTTATAATTTACCTTTTTTCACTTACTACTAGATCTTTAACATTTTTCCCTCTCTTTAATATTTATGCCTCATTTAATGACTGTGTGATATTTTATCACTTGGGTAGTTATTATTTATATTGTTTTTAGAATTGTTTTAACTTCTGTTACTATAAATGATATACAATCAGAACTGTTATGAACACAGATGTACTTGTGTGTTATATACAGACAGGAGTAATGATTTCCCTAGGATATTATTAAAAGTGGAACTTCAGGGAACTGATCAGTAATTTAAGTGAATCTGTATGTATGTACATATACACCCCTAAATAAGTTGTTTTCCAAGCTGCACTCAAAAGTTCATGAGAGAAACTGAATTTTAGCCAGTCTGTCACCTTAGGAGAGCTAAGATTCCGTAGCATATCATGTATTTCTTCCCCAATGTCATCAACACAGAGTGTTCTCACTGCTACCGTCCCCAACTGAACATCAGCACCAAGGGGGGACTGAGCGTCCTGAACAAAACGATTTTATTAGCAATTCATAAGGCACACCGATTGTAAATGGCTTATACTTCATCAGTGTAGCATAAACAAACAATTATTTTCTATTCTAATTGTTATTAAATTCCCTTCAGTGTGAATGTTTCTTACATCCCTGATGACTTACACGATCTGCATATGGTGAACCTCATTTATGAATAAGGCATCATTTCCAGGCCAAAGCAGGCTTAACAAAACACAGGGGTCTCTCCTGGCCTGCGAGCTACCAGGCTGCTGCCCTCCAGCTCACATGTCGGTTAGGAAGGAGCCGGACAATTAGTGCAGGAAAGAAAAGGACCACAGGCTCCTCTGGCCCGTGGGGAGAGCGGGGGAGGGAGCCCGTGCTTCTGGAAGCTTGGTGGGGAGGGATTCTGCAGAGATGGGCTGGGGCGGAGAGATAACAAAATGTATCTTAGAGGGGCGCCTGGGTGGCTTAGTCGGTTAAGCGTCCGACTTTCGCTCAGGTCATGACCTCGCGGTTTGTGGGTTCGAGCCCCGCGTCGGGCTCTATGCTGACTGCCAGCTCAGAGCCTGGAGCCTGTTTCAGTCTGTGACTCCCTCTCTCTCTCTGACCCTCCCCTGCTCACGCTGTCTCTCTCTCTCTCTCTCCTAGAAATAAATAAAGCATTAAAAAAAATTAAGAAAAATGTATCTTAGAGCAGCAGTGGTGGCTGACTGCTACCCCCAAGGGGATGGTCCCAACAGAAACCCACCAGGGATCTAAGCCCCACAGAAGGCCTCCCTTTGCGGCCTGTATTTCTGCCGACTGACTGTAAGGGAACAGGTTACATGAAACTGCACTGAAGGATTTGAAAAGGTTAAGCTCAGTGTCTTGAACCGATTCTCTTCTCCATCGTCTCCTACATGATCACAAGAGAGAAATCCTTTAAGAGATTATTTCCAAAGAGTTTTAAAAACCGCCTTTGAAAATGACTGATAAATAACAAATACTCTAATATTGGCATATGGGTATTTTTCCCCGCCATATTTTTGTTGCTTAGATAGGATTAAGTAATGAGCAGCACCTACTAGGATGAGAGCACTTGAACCCTTCAGAAATGATTTCATCTAGTGAGTCACTGATCTATGCATAGATGATAACTCTGAGGTACCCAGAACGACCCAGCTCAGGTCTCATACTCCTTGTCCCTCTGCTAACACAAATCATACAAGGCAAGTGGATCAGATCAGCAGACGGACCTACCTTCTTAGCATTTACCACTAGGGATTTGGCAGTTTCCAGCCCCAGGCACGGACAGTGATCCTTCAGCCAATATTACCTTGATCTGAGTGGCACAGGTACTTGATATGCACAGAAAACTCTCCAGTTTTTTTTTTAATATTTTTATTTATTTCCAGGAGAGAGAGAGAGAGACAGCGTGATCAGGGGAGGGTCAGAGAGAGAGGGAGATACAGACTGAAACAGGCTCCAGGCTCTGAGCTGGCAGTCAGCACAGAGCCCGACGCGGGGCTCGAACCCACGAACCGTGAGATCATGACCTAAGCGAAAGTCGGACGCTTAACCGACTAAGCCACCCAGGCGCCCTGAAAACCCTCCAGTTTTAATCAGTCAGTCGAAGAATCACAACTTCTGCTATTTTCCCCAGAATTATTCCCGAAGAACAGGTATGATAGGGTCAAATTTTTAGCCCTCTTAAGGATTTCTGTTCAAACTGTATTCTGAGAAGGACATTAGAAAGGAGAGCTCAAGTGTCAAGAAATCGACAGATTATCATTTTCTTCATGTGAGAACATATGGCCTGGGCAAATGATTTGGTCAGTTGATAGAGTTAAATAATTTTTTCCTTTTAAATGCAAAAGGCTGAAGTGTCTTTGTAATATTTTTCTTTCTACAGTTTAATCATTTGGCAATCTGGGGAAGCATAGTTATATGGCTGGTGTTTTTTGCAATTTACTCTTTCTTATGGCCCACAATTCCTCTTGCTCCTGAAATGAGAGGACAGGTTAGTTTTATTAGCTGTAAGTGGTAAGTATGCATTACATTCCTCATGAACACTTATGTTTATTCATAATAAAAGTTTGGTATCTACTTTCAAGATAATTTGGAAATAAAAGATGCAATTAATACAATTTAGAAACAGTTGGTGATTCAACTAAAGTCCAGTTGAAGTTTTAGTTATAATATTGTTTTATCTAAAGTCTCATTGCTTTAGACTTCAAAATTACTTAGCTGTTTCCAAAATTGTTATCTTTTGTGCATAACTGATAAAAGCTATAATTACTTCAGAATCATCTAAAATAGCTAATATTGTAATTATATTTTTCATGTTAATGTGCCATATGCTTTATTAGGTTCTTGTTATATGGTATGTATGGCGACTAAGAAAACATTTTTATTTGAAATATAGAGACAGAAAGCAGATCAGTGGTTAACTGGAGACAGAGGTGGTGGGTGGTAAATGGCAGGGAAGGGCAGGAAGGAGTGGTTACATTGCAGAATAAAGAGACTTCTGGGGGTGCTAGATATATTCTTCATTGTGTTAATGAGCTCATGGATATAATGCATGTCAAACGTATCAAATTGTTCACTTTCAATATTGTTCAGTTTATTCTAAGTCAATTGTGCCTCGATAAAGCTGTTAACATGAGAAAACAGTTGAATGAGCCTTAATTCATGAGTGTGGTGAAAGAAGCGTTGTAGTGAGGGGTGGTGGTAAGCTGGTTTTGTTCCCATTTTAAGAGAGAATATTTATATTGTCATCAATTCTGTGTTAAAATTGAGAATTTTAATGAAAAACTGAGAACTTTTACGCTGAGATCAGGAACGAGACAAGGATATCCACTCTCACCACTTCTTTTCAACAGAGCACTAGACGTCCTAGCCACAGCAATCAGACAAGAAAAAGAAAGAAAAGACACTCAAATTGCTAAGAAAGAAGTAAAACTATCACTATTTGCAGACGACGTAATACTAGATGTAGAAAACCCTGAAGACGTCACCAAAAAAAAGAAATTACTGTAACTTATAAGTAAATTCAGTAAGGTCACAGAATACAAAGTCAATATACAGAAATCCATTGCATTCTATACATTAATAATGAAGTAGCAGAAAGAGAATTTAAGAAAACAATCCATTTACAACTGCACCAAAAATAATAAAATACCTAGGAATAAACGTAACCAAGGAGGTGACAGACCTGTACTCTGAAAACTATAAAACACTGATGAAAGAAACTGAAGTTAACAAACAGATGGGAAGATATTCCACGCTCATCAATTGGGAGACTATTGTCCAAATGTCTATACTACCCAAAGCAATGTACACATTTAATGCAATCCCTATCAAAATGCCAACAGCATTTTTCACAGAAATAGAACAGAGAGTCCTTGAATTTGAGCGGGACCACAAAAGACACCAAATAGCCAAAGCAATCTTGAGAAAGAAGAAGAAAACTAGAGGTAACACAATCCCCTATTTCAAGGTATATTACAAATCTGTAGTAAACAAAACAGTATGGTACTGACACAAAAACAGACACATAGATCAAAGGAACAGAGAACCCAGAAATAAACCCATTATTATATGATCAGTTAATCTTCAAGTATATGCAATAGGAAAGACATTCTCTTCAACAAACGGTGTTGGGAAAAGTGGACAGCTAGATACAAAAGAATGAAACTGGACCACTTTCTTACACCCTACACAAAAATAAACTGAGATTGATAATTTTAAATTTTGTATTTTTTGAATGTTTTAAGCCTAAATTGAATGTTAAGATAAGGAATATGCAGCTTGTTGTTTAGATATTAAATGAAATATTATTCTTTTTACTTGTTCCTCAGTTCTTTAAAAATCCTTTCCCTAATGCACCTTTCCTGCATACACATCTAGAAAAAAGCTATTCTCCACTGAGAGAGCCATTCATTTATCCTGGGCTTGAGCTCCCTGTTTCTGGGCCCAGGGTGTTAAGGATGCGTATTTTTTCAGTTCTTAAATATACTCCAATCTAGAGAGTGAAAACGAACTCCTTGACGCTTGTAGCAAAGACATATTGAATTTCTTCCTTTCCTTTGATTATTAATTCTATTCATAAATCACCTCTTTACCCTTGGTAGAACTGCCAAGATTGCGAGCAAAAACAAAGTGTTTACATACAGAAGATCTATTGATTCTCATCACACACGCTTCACAGAAAAGGGTTTCAACCCTGATTTTGGCATGGCATGCGGGGAATCTATTTGCCAAACTGGTAAAAAAACAAAAACGAAAACAAAACCCTCCTTGCAAATAACTCCATTTGTGCTGAAGTCACCTGGTTTGATTACTTTTGTTATACCTATAAAAGCCAAGAGTCACATCCAGATGGCCAACAGACACAGGAAAAGATACTCAACATTACTCATCATCAGGGAAACACAGATCAAAACCACAAAGAGGTATCACCTCACACCTGTCAGAATAGCTAGTATCAAACACACAGGAAATGACACGTGTTGGTGAGGATGTGGTGAAGAGAGAACTGCTGTGCACTGTGGATGGGAATGTAAACTGGTGCAGCCACTGTGAAAAACGCTATGGAGGGTCCTCAAAAAATTAAAAGTAACAATACCCTATGATCCCATAATTCCACTACTGGGTATTTACCCAAATAAAAAAATACTAATTCAAAAAGGTATATGCACCCCTGTATTTACTACAGCATTATTTACAATAGCATTGATATGAAAGCAACCCAGGTATCCACAGATAGAGGAATAGACAAAGAAGATGTAGTATGTACACAAACACACACAGAGAGGAGTATTAGTCATAAAAATAATGAGTTCTTGCCATTTATGAGATTGTAGATGGACTTAAAAGGTATTATGCTAAGTGAAATAAGCCAGAGAAAGTGACGGTTTACTTCTTCCTTACCAATTTGGATGCCTTTTATTTCTTTTTTTTGTTTGACTGCTGCAGTTAGGACTCCCAGTACTGTATTGAATAAAAGTGGTGAAAATGGACATCCTTGTCATGTTACTGATCTTAGAGGAAAAGCTCTCAGTTTTGTACCATTGCATATAATGTTAACTGTGGATTTTTTGTATATGGCCTTAATTATGTTGAGCTGTGTTCCCTCTAAAGTCATTTTCTTGAGAGTTTTTATTGTGAATGGATGTTGCATTTTGCCAAGTGCTCTTCTGCATCTCTTGAGATGACTGTATAACTTTTACCCTCTCTCTTGTTAATCTGGTGTATCCACATTGATTGACAGGCCCCTCAGCAATGCAGAGACTAAACCATGCCCATCGTGCCGATAGCAGGCAAAGGAGGTCATTGCAGCCAGCGGGGCTAAAGGCAAATGTGGCTCAGCCACAACGGTAGGGTGCAGGCAGTCCACACAGGAGATACTTCTGGAACACCTAGCTCTGGTGACCCAGGAGCACTGTGCTACAAGGGCCCACACGACCACTACTTCCAAGACCAGGAGATACAGCTGACCTCAAAGTTAGACAAAATGAGGATACAGAAGAATATGTACCAAACAAAAGAACAGGACAAAGTTACAGCGAAAGATCTAAATGAAACTGAAATAAGCAATATGCCTGATAATGAATTCAAAGTGTAATGTTCATAATAAAGACTAGAGCAAAAATAAATGAAACACAGACCAAAAATAGAAAAGATCAATGAAGCCAGGGGTTTGTTTCTTTGAAAAGATAAACAACAATGATAAACCAGATTCATCTAGAAAATAAGAGAGAGGACTCAAGTAAATAAAATCAGAAGTAAAGAATGAGAAATAACAACTGACACCACAGGAATACATAGGATTATAAGAGACTAATATAAAAATTATATGCCAATGAACTGGACATCCTAGAAGAAATTGATAAATCCTAGAAACATACAATCTTCCAAAACTGAATAAGAAATAAAAAGGAAAAGAAAATTTGAGCAGATGAATTACTAAGTAATGAAATTGAGCTGATAATCAAAAAAACTCCCAACAAACAAAAGTCTGGGAACAGATAGCTTCACAAGCGAATTCTACCACACATTTAAACAAGAGTTAATATTATTCTTCTCACACTTCTAAAAAAGGAAGGAAGACCTCCAAATTCATTCTATTAAGGCCAGCATTACCCTGATACCAAAACCAGACAGACACTACAAAAAAAGAGAACTATAGGTTCAAGATCTCTGATAAACATAGATCAAAAATCTTCAACAAAATATTAGCAAACCAAATTCAACAATGCATTAAAAAAATAATTCATCAAAGTCAAGTAGGATTTATTCTAGAGTGATTTCCCTTTTGACTTCTTTGACTCATTGGTTACACAGTAGTGTGCTGTTTAACTTCCACGTATTTGTGACTTTATCCAGTTTTCCTCCTAGTATTGATTTCTAATTAAATACAATTATGATCAGGGAAAAATACTTTATATTATTTCAATGTTCTTAAATTTGTTAAGGCTTGCTATGTGGCCCAACATGTAATCTAACCTGGAGAATGTTCTGTGTGCACTGGAGAATGTGTATTCTGGTGCTGTTGGATGGAATGTTCTGAATAGGTCTATGAGGTCCATTCTGTCTATAATGTTATTGAGGTCAGCTGTTTCCTTATTGATTTTCTGTCCAAATGATCTATCCATTGTTGAAAGTGGGGAAATTCAATTCCCTACTATTATTATATTGCTGTGAATTTACCCCTTCAGTTTTGTTAATATCTGGTTTAAATATTTAGGTACTCCCATGTCAGGTGCAAATAAACTTACAATTCTTATATCCTCTTAATGAATTGACATCCATTATACTATATAATGACCATCTTTGTCTCTTATGACTGATTTGGCCTGAATGTCTATTTTACCTAATATTAGTATAACCACTCCTGCTCTTTTGGTTACCATTTACTTGTAATACCTTTTTCAATCCCCTTACTTTTGCCTATGTGTCCCTAAAGCTGAACTGAGTCTCTTATCAGCAGCATATTGCTGGGTCTTTTTTATTTTTCCAGTCACTCTGTGTCTTTTGATTGGAGATTTTAATCCATTTACATTTAGAGTAATTACTGACTGGTAAGGACTTACCATAGCCACTTCAATAAAATGTATTATTGTCACAGGTCCTAAAGATAAATCACAGCATGCCACATGGGAAGGAGACCAGGGTGGTCAGGAGGAGAAACACGGGAGCTGGGGAGTGCTTAAGCCTTGCCTTTATTGGGGCTTCCATGCAAAAGGCAACGCAGAACAGGGTGAAGAGCCCAGGAATGGCTAGTTTAAATGACTTTTGCAGGCTTTGTGCTATAGGGATGGTTTCTAGTTGCCTGGCACCTGGTTCTGGAATGATTCTGGCAGAGGAATATTCCTCCTGGGGTGTATGGGCCAGATAAAGGAGATAGGGCTGTGGATTAGTTTGCAGATCAAAGGCAACCTCCCTGCTGAGATCTTACTATCTCTAAGAACTGACTGGCTCTCGGAGGAAGGTTTTATGTTAAGATGGTGAAACATCAGAATATAGAGAAAATTAAAAAAAAAAAAAAAAAAGAATATAGAGAAAATTTTAAAAATATATAATACAGAGCCTTGCCCAGTCTCAAAATCAGTACAGTCTTGACTGAACTAAAGTGATCAGTTAGCTACCAATTAATCAGGTAGAGGGAAGAGTGATTTTTGGCGGGGGACTATACTGGCACAACTGTCTGGAAGTTAAGTACAGTTTTGTTGCTAGGTAATATAAGGCTGAACCGCTCTTGCATTCCTGAGATAAACCTTATTTGATCAAAATATTTATTTGGTTGATTGTTTATAGAATATACTATTAAGTTAGCCAATACTCTATTTAGGTTTTATGTACTTAACATTGATTTAGTAGTCTAGACTCCTGTGACTATATCCATACCTGCATACCCAGGTTTTTGTGGAGGAAAAGGGAAACTGAAAGTTGCATTTGGTACTCAATACTGACAAACTGAAAGACTCCTCTTTAAATACTCTTTATTTCTACTTATTTGCAGATCAGTATGGCCCTGGTTTGTCCACACTTCTGGCTGGGTTTCTTCATAGTCCCCATTATGTGCCTGATTCTAAATCTATTATGGACATCGTAAGTTAAAAAATAAGGTAGTAACCAAAAAATAGATTGTCATGGTTGATTTTTCTTTTCCAATTATATGCTTTTCAAATTAAGTTAAATTTGAAAATTTGCCACTTCTTGAATATTAAAAGTCAGAAGAAGTAAATGTCTTCTGCCTTTTACTGTAGATTCCCCAGCAACCAATTTGGGGGGGAGGGGAAGATGGCATCGAAATGCACAAGAGGTAACTTGGGTAGTGAATTACCCAGTTCAGGATTTTTCCTGAAAGGTCATCCACTTACTCTTTAGAAGTGGGACTTATATATCTTCTATCCACTTTAGAGGAACCAAAACCTGATACCAGACGATCACAGATTAAAAACTAATAATAAGATAAGAAATAGGAGGGAGATGTTCAAATTAGAAAGACATTCTTCACTTTTTAAAAACATATGAGGGGCGCCTGGGTGGTTCAGTCGGTTAAGTGTCTGACTTCAGGTCAGGTCATCATCTCACGGTTCGTGGGTTCGAGCCCCGCGACGGGCTCTGTGCTGACAGCTCAGAGCCTGGAGCCTGTTTCAGATTCTGTGTCTCCCTCTCTCTCTGCCTCTCCCCTGCTCATGCTGTCTCTCTCTCTCTCTCTTTCTCTCTCTCTCAGAAATAAATAAAACATTAAAAAAAAACAACCAAAAAAAATAACCAAAAAACCTGGAAACATACCATTTTCCATTTTGGGGGCACCTCCCATCTGAGGGCTACAGCATGCACTGCCCCCAGCGGCATCGACTCAGTACCGAAGTGTTCCTACTAGCAGAGCCGGGGCTGCTATGGAGATAGACACCTGAACTGAACTAAGATACAGTGAAGGCTCCCAATTTAAAGTAACCATTTCAGGGGCGCCTGGAGGGCTCAGTCAGCTAAGCATCCAACTCTTGATTTTGGCTCAGGTCGTGATCTCACAGTTGGTGAGATTGAGCCCCACGTCTGCACTCTGGTACCAGTACAGAGCCTGCTTGGAATGCTCTCTCTCTCTCACTCTCTCTCAAATAAATAAACAAACATTAAAAACATTCTTCAGAATGAGCATTTCATATCTAAGCAAGGGCACTCATTTCCCCAGTGTAATATGTATTGGTCCTATTTCATTCTATACTTTCTTTCGCTTACAGAATGCAATTTTTATCACATTGCTTATGTTCCATTTCTGAGCATCAGTATTTCTATTAAGTGGGATGAGATTCTTTCTGGAAAGAAAGAAAAACTTTCTATTAAGTACTTGATCTAGGGAAATTTTAAACAACTACATTTTAATGTGCCGTATATTGCTCCTAATTATTCCAGACTGTATCCTAATCCACATCCTAGCCACAAGGTTCTCGATTTAACTTCAGAAATAATTGCTGAGGAACAAAGTAATCAATTGGGCACATTGTGCTGTCACATAGAAGATGAAGAATGTGCCTGATGTTGACAGTGCACAGGCATGTCTTCCATGTCAAGGCCGCTGTAAAATGCTGCCACTAAAGCCACAGGACTCAGAGGAGCAGCTCCTCTGGCTCTGTTTTGTGTTTAACCTCAACCATACCTATTTCCTTTACTAGTCTACTTATGTGTCCTGCTTATAAAATATTCTGTGATCCAGAACGATTTCAAAATCTTGGTACAGGGGCGCCTGGGTGGCTCAGTCGACTGAGCGTCGGGCTTCGGCTCAGGTCATGATCTCACAGTTTGTGGGTTGGAGCCCCACGTCAGGCTCTGTGCTGACAGCTCGGAGCCTGGCGCCTGCTTCTGACTCTGTGAGTCCCTCTCTCTCTCTGCCCCTCCCCCATTCGTGCTCTGTTTCTCTCTGTCTCAATAATAAACATTTAAAAAAATCTTGGTACAAATGGGGCGCCTAGATGGCTCACTTGGTTAAGCATCTGACTCTTGATTTCAGCTCAGCTCATGATGTCACGGTTGGTGAGATAAGCCCTGTGTGGACTCTGCTTTGGGGGTGCAGAGCCTGCTTGGGATTCTCTCCCCCTCTCTCTTTCTGCCCCTCCCCTTGCTTGTGTTCTCTCTCTCTCTCTCTCTCTCAAAATAAATAAATGAACATTTAAAAAAAGTTTTAAAATTCTTAGCATTGGGGTGCCTGGGTGGCTCAGTCGGTTAAGCATCCGACTTCGGCTCAGGTCATGATCTCACAGTTCGTGGGTTCGAGTCCTGCGTTGGGCTCTGTGCTGACAGCTCAGAGCCTGGAGCCTGCTTCTCTGATTCTGTATCTCCTTCTCTCTTTGACCCTCCCCTGCTCACACTGCCTCTCTCTTCCTCTCTCTCTCTCAGAAAAAATAAAACATTAAAAAAAATGATTTTTAAATTCTTGGCATAATCCCAGGAAGATACTTACATGAAAATTAAGTAAAAATGTGAAATAATCCAAATATACATGTGATTTGGATTTTAAAAGACTGTATACACTACTAACACACTCTCTTTGACTTACACAGCACAAAATCCAAAGCAGGCTCCAGGCTCCGAGCCAGCAGCACAGAGCCAGACACAGGACTAGAACTCAGGAACCGGAAGACCATGGCCTGAGCCGAAGTCGGGGCTTAACCCACTGGCCCACCTGCTTGTTAATGCTTTTATAACGCAATTTTAATGTACGTGACATCACATTCTTGGCCGTTTTTTGTTCTACAACTTGACCACTGACCTCTCTAATAATCTCTCCCAATCACCCAGTCTTCTGTCTGTCTCAGCCGCCTAAAATCTATGAACCACCAAGTCTTACTACCCGCCTACGCTTTGCACCTTTTTGTTGTACTTGTCTGGGGATGTCAGAAGCCCGTTAGCTTTCCTCTGTGTCACTTCTGAGCACCTGCCAGACCCCTAGCAAGGCCACAGATGGCCCGCCCAGCCCCGTCCCTCCCCTCCCTCAGAGCATGCTCACTATGCCCTTCCCACTGCAGGAGCTTCCTGTAGGGGTTTCCTCTGTCCAGAACACTCTCCCACAGCCTCCGGCATTAGCTGGCTTCTCGTGTAGTCCAGCTCAAATGCCACTTCGCCAGAAGAGCCTTCCATAATACCCTTGCCAGGCCTCTACCTCTGCCTCTTTCTGTAATGGCGCCATGTGGAGTCCTTTCCATCACACCTGTTTCCCTCTGACATGGCTCATCAGTTCACTCGTCTGCTGTCTGTCTCTCTGTATACATTGGAAGCGTTATGAAAGTAGAAACAGAGGTGTCTGGATGGCTTACTCGGTTAAGCATCCAACTTTGGCTCAAGTCACAATCTCACAGTTTCTGAGTTCGAGCCCCACATTGGGCTCTGTGCTGACAGCTTGGAGCCTGGAGCCTGCTTCGGATTCTTGTCTCCCTCTCTCTCTCTGCTGCTCCTCCCCTGCTCATGTGCTGTCTCTCTCTCAAAAATAAACAAACATTTTAAAAAATTTAAAAAAAGAGAAAGTAGAAATAATGTCTATTTTTGCTTTGACACCTAATGGTGGCTCAGAAAAATTTAAAGAATACGTGAGTGGATGAATGATGAGGGCATGAATACAGGGACCCTAATGAAAACTGGTTGCCAAGGAAAGGGAGAGCATTGCCTTGTATGTTTCAAGTCAGGTATGCACACCTGTCACCAGGTACTGACAGGACACGCCCACTCTGCCATTAGGGGTGCTATGAGCGGCACAGGACACTCCGGTTGAAGTGGGGCTCGGAGGTAACACAGCTGAAAATGTAAGAATCAAGGTCCTGAACTAGTGACCGTGGTAGAGAAAGTCCTACAGCCTCATGGCTCAGTCCTATGAACCTTCATCCGTCTGGCTAAATTCATGCAGATCGACTACTCCAGGGTCAGGGCCCGCCGTCCATGCTCAGAGTGGCCGTCCGCTAACTGGCACTGCCCAGCTCTGTCCAGCACCCCCTCTGGTAATGCGCCATCGCTGCTAGGAAGGCAAGAGGCGGGGTTCACTTGGAGACTGGGCACAACGCAGTGCCCCTCATCCCCCAGCCTGTGGGCAAGGGACGTCCAGCTACACCTGGTCCCCCAGCCTGTGGGCAAGGGACGTCCAGCTACCCCTCGTCCCCAGCCTGTGGGCAAGGGACGTCCAGCTATCCCACGGGGGTGAAACTGCTGCTTCCACTCTGTAAAGCTCATGGCTTCTTTTCATCCTTCCCGCATAGCACAGGATTACAAACACCTGCAACAGGACGCTCCTGGAAGAGGTTCGTGAGATGGAAAGTGGCAAAGTTCAAGGGCTTCATCTTCCAACAGTGTCTGAGAAGGGGTGAGCCTATTCCCTTTGTCCTGACTTTTGCTGAACACCTGACTTCGTGTTCTTCTTTCCACCCTTCCCTCCCGTGTACTTCCATGCTCACCCTGATCCCGCAAGTGTATTAAGCGCATGTCAACAGGCTTCTTGACCTTCACGCCCCCAGCCATGCCAGCTTCCCCTGAGGTCCTCCTTACAGTGGATGGCAACTTCGTTCTTCCAGTTTCTCAGGCCAAAAGTCTCGAAGTCATTCTCACATCTTCTTTCTCCTATCCCCCCCTCCCCACACACACACATTGTTTCAGAAAATATTATTGTTCCTACTTTGAGAAAAAAAAAAAACACGTGAGAATTTGGTCACTACTCACAACCTGTGCCTTCTTGAAACCGGCCCAGCCCCTATCATCTTTCTCCTGGATTATTGCAGAAGCCTCTTAACAGGTGTCTCTGCTTCTGCACCCCCCCCTCCCCAGAGCAGTCAGAGGGAGGAGGCTGCGGCAGGGTGAATTTGACCATGTCACGCGCTGCTCTCTAACTTCCTGTGACCTCCCCTCTCACTCTCTCACTCAGAGAAAGACAAGATCATTTTAGTGGTTTACAGTGCTGTACACATAGTCCCCGCACACACACACACTCCATTTGACAACCCTGATGGCTTTCTCTTCTAATGTCTGGTCACTAAAAGTTTTTTTTTTTTTGTTTTTTTTAAATGACTCATTTTGGAAAACCATGTTTCCATTTCACCACACATATTTTTAAAGAAAGCTGTATTCTTTTCACAGCCTCCCTTGCTATTGTTCTCACAGATGGTGCCTCAAGCTTATGCATGCTAGCTTTATTTTAACTTCTGGTGGTTGGTGGACAGACACTCAGATCCCAGTGCTGGGCCAAGGAGTCTGCTAATTTCTGCCACTTTCCCTTGCAGATTCTTGCAGAAAGGTTTAGACGTGCAGGGAAAGCAGCTCCTCTCTCTGTGTCCTTCCCCCTAGAGAAAGCTGTGGGTATGGGAGGTCAGGGGAGGGCACAGCCAGAGAAAAGGGCCAGGGCTTCTTCCTGAATGGCTCCCCTTCTCCTGCCGCCTGGGAAGACGACACCGGATTAGGGGGTTTGCTTTCACAGTTTCTGCCTCTTCCCACTGGTGCTGATCTGATGGCCTTGAGTCAAGAGTAGGCCAAATGCTAGGAATTAATGTGTGTTAATATTCTTTATCCCTGTACGTAAGGTATCTCTAGGGAGAGATGAGTTCTAGTTGTCTGACATAACCTGGGTGTTCCCCTGAGTACAAGTCCCACGCTCCTTCTCTCTAATGACAGACTTCTACCCAGGCACTTTCATGAGGCTTGTCCTGGAGTTTTGTTTGAGCCTTCTCTGAATCTGGAATATGTGTACAGGAATTATAAGGCAAAGAATCAGTCTGTATCTGTATTGAATGGCTGCTCTATTTGGAGTACTTTGTTAACCGAGAAGGAAAGGGTCAAAAGCAACTGGTGATGTGACCTGAATAAAGAGGCCCAAACACATTTTTTTTTTAACTTAAGGAGAAGCAAAATTGTAAGTGGGCAAATATAAAATAAATGCATGAGGTGATTAATCAACACCCACATATTTGGCACCGCCTGAGTACTCAGCACTGACAGTACCAAGTGTGGGCATGGATGGAGAGCACGTACAGATCTTAAAAAATGAATCTGGACAACTGGCCATTTCTAATCAGTTTAAAGAAATGCTTATCCCATGTCCCAACAGTTCCATTTCCAGGTATTTACCCAAGAGACTTTAAAGTATGTGTCTACACATCCAGGTGCATGATGCTAACTGATCTCCATCAAGTATAACCCAAAGAAGATTTCACCAACATACGTTATAACAAAACTGTCAAAAATCAAAGACAAAGAATCTTGAAAGCAGCAAAAGGAAAGAAGCTTGTCACGCACAGGGGAATGCCATCAATGGATTTCTCATCATAAACCTTATTGGCCAAGAGAGGGTCGGATCTGTATTCAAAGTGCTGAAGGGAAAGCAGCAACCAGCCAAGAATACTGTATCTAACTGGAACTGAAGGGGAGAGATAAAGAGTTTTCCAGACAAACAAAAGCTACAGGAGTTTATCACCAATGGCCTGGCCTTACAAGAAATGTTGGAGAGACTTCTTTAAGCTGAAACAAGAGGACGCTCATCAGTAACAGCAAACCATGAAAAAGTATAAATCTCGTTGGTAAAGGTAAACCTATAGTGAAATTCAGAATAATCTAATGATGTAAAAGGTGATAGATAAATCAATATGAAGGTTAAAAGGCAAAAGCAGTAAAAAAAATAACTATAATTACAAGCATTTGTTAATAGATACACAAGAAAAAAAAGTAAATTGTGACATCCAAAACAAAGAGTGGTGGGGGAAGTAGAAATGCAGACCTTTAGAATACATTTGAACTTCAGATGTTATCAGGTTAAAATAGACTGTTAAAAACATAAATCATTGTATGTAAGCTTCATGGCTTACGCTGAGCAAAGAACTATAGTAAATACAGACACCAAAAAAAAAAAAAAATACAGAAAAAGGCATCTTACCATATCACTACAGAAAAATCATCAAATCACAAAAGAGAGCAAGAAATAAAAGACAACAGAATTACTAAACAGCCAAGAAACCACAAACAAAATGGCAATTAAATACACATAGGCACAATTTGTTTTATTGTGCTTTGCTTTATTGCACTTCACAGATACTGCTTTCCTTCCTCCCCTTTTTCTTTTTACAAATTGAGGTTTTATGGCAATCCTATGTGCTCAAGTCTGTTGGCACCATTTTTCCAATAGCATTTGCTTACTTCATGTCTCTATGTCACATTTTGGTAATTTGCACAATATTGCAAATATTTTCATTATTATTTAAAATTTTTTGGTGATCTGTCAACAGTGATTATAACTTGATGAATGTTCAGGTGATGGTAAGCATTCAGTAGCAATAAATTAAATGTTTTATTTATTTCTAGGAGAGAGAGAGAGAGACCACGTGAGCAGGGGAGGGTCAGAGAGAGAGGGAGTCACAGACTGAAACAGGCTCCAGTCTCTAAGCTGGCAGTCAGCACAGAGCCTGACGCGGGGCTCGAACTCACAAACCGCGAGATCAGGACCTAAGCGAAAGTCGGACGCTTAACCGACTAAGCCACCCAGGCGCCCCAATAAATTACTTTTGAAGGGGGGACCTGAGTGGCTCAGTTGGTTAAGCAGTAGATTACTTTTTGATTAAGGTATATACATTTTTTAAGGCATAATGCAATAACGCACTTAGACTATAATATAGTATAAACAACTTTTATATGCACTGGGAAAAACAAAAAATCCATTTGACTTGGTTTATTGCAATATTAGCTTTATTGTGGTAGTCTGGAACCAACCTGCAGTACCACTGAGGTATGCCTATACCTATGAGTAATTACTTTAAACATAAATGGACTAAATTATCCAATTAAAAGAAATAGAGTGGCTGAATAGATTTAAAAAACTAGACTCATCTATATGTTGTCTACAGGTGACTCACTTCAGATGTAAGGACTGCGACTGAAGGTGAAGGGATGGAAAATAATATTCTATGCAAATTGAAACCAAAAGAAATCTAGGGTAGCTATATTTAGAAAAAATTGACTTTATTTTATTTAAAAATTTTTTTAAATGTTTATTTTTCAGAGAGAGAGACACGGAGTGAGAGTGAGGGAGGTACAGAGAGAGAGGGAGACACAGAATCCGAAGCAGGCTTCAGGCTCTGAGCTGTCAGCACAGAGCCCAATGTGGGGCTCGAACTCACAAACTGAGAGATCATGACCTGAGCTGAACTCGGACGCTCAACCAACTGAGCCACCCAGGCGCCCCAAAATAGACTTTAAAATAAAAACAAGAGACAAAGAAAGGCATTACATAATGAAAAAAGGGTTAATGCAAAAAAAAGGATATAACATTTGTAAATATTTATGCACCCAACATAGAAGTACTAAATATATAAAGCAAATATTAACAAACCCAAAAGATGAAATAGACAGCAACACTATAATAGTAGGGGACTACTCTAATACCCTACTATTTCATCAGTGGATAGATCTCCTAGACAGAAAATCAACAAGGAAACATTGACCTTAAATGTCTTGTTAGATGAGGGACTTAAAAAATACACATAGAACATTCCATCTCAAAGCAAGAGAATATCCATTCTTCTCAAGTGCATCGAACAACCTCGAAGACAGATCATACATTAAGCTCCCCAAACAAGTCTTAATGTATTTAAGAAGACTGAAATCATATCAGCATCTTTTCCAACCACAATGCTATGAAACTGGAAATCAATTACAAGAAGAAAACTAGAAAATTCACAATTTGTAGAGATTAAACAATATTCTATTAACAAGCAATGGGTCAAAAGAGAAATAAAAAAAGAAATAAAAACACGTCTGAAAACAAATGGAAATGGGAAGACAACATACTAAACTTAAGGGGTGCAGCAAAGGCAACTCTACAGAGGGAAGTTCATTGCAATAATTGACAACGTTAAGATACAAAAGACGTCTCAAACAATCTGACGTTACCCTTTAAGTAACCAGAAAAAGAAGAACTAAGCCTAAACTTAGCAGAAGAAAGGAAATAACACAGGTCAGAGCAGAAATAAATGAAATAGAGATAAAAACACAATAGAAAAGGATCCATTAACAGGGCACTTGTTAGGATGAGCGTTGGGTGTTATATTTAAACCAACTTGACAATAAACTATTTTAGGAAGGAAAACAAAAACAGCTGTGTTTTTCAAAAAACAAACAAACTTTTGGTTGGACTCATGAAGAGAAAAAGAGAGAGAATTCAAATCAGAAATTCTATACCTGAAACTAATATTATGCTGTATGTTAACTAACTGGAATTTAAATAAAAATTTGAGAAAGAAAAAACCCCTGCCTGATTAGTTGCCTTGCCAAGATGAAGAAGCCATATGAAATACACTGTATTATACTGCCATCAGTTCAACTAAATAT